GGGAAGATGGAGGGGAGCGAGACGGGGGGCGCATGAAGATGGATGGGTGGGGAGGGAAGAAGGAAGGGAGTGGGAGGCGCACATGGGTGTGGACAGGGCTGGGGAGGGAAGATGGAGGGGAGTGAGACGGCGTGGCTTGGGTGTGGACGGGGCTGGGGAGTGCATGGGTGTGGACGCTTGCGCGGCTGATATGCTAGTTACGAGGACATGGTTGCACCACAAGCATCATCATCATCATCATCATTGCAGGCTGCTCCGGGTCAGTGCGCAAGTAGAACGAAGCATGGGTGGGGGTAGTGCTGCTCCATGCTTCGCGGAAGCTCGTTGGGAGGTGAGTGGAGCTACGGGGCTTATACGATGGTCTTGGGTGTCCAAAAAGTGCGCAATGCACGCGACAGACGGTCAAGTTGCGTCGAGCACATGGTTGCACCACAAGCATCATTGCAGGCTGCTCCGGGTCAGTGCACAAGTAGAACGAAGCATGGGTGGGGGTAGTGCTGCTCCATGCTTCGCGGAAGCCCGTTGGGAGGTGAGTGGAGCTGTGTTGCACCAGAACCGCGACGCTTGAAATATCATAGTTGCCACGAAGCCTGGAGGGGGCTGATGCTTCGTTTTGGCCTGCTAATTTGTGTTTGTTTATTTTTCCTGGGTTGTGCGCTTCTTTTTGCTTTTGGGTCCGCGGGCTCACCTTGTTTCTTTACCGTATACAATTCTTTAAGCGGTTTCTACACATATTCCTGAACCTCGTGCTGTTCAAGGCTCAGGGCAAGCCGAGCTCGTGACCTGGCCTTTAAAGTTGGAACGGAACTGTTGGAGTCAGACAGGGAGCCTAAGGCTTCGGGCACAAGGCCTTGCAGGATTGGTAAGATGTAATGAGAGAGAGAACTACTGAACCACTGTAATAACAAGTGCATCGCTACTTGAGCCTAGTAGCGATTCACTTGTGATAAGTAGTAACACATTGGATTGCTGCTCTTAGAGGCCAAATATTTATATACAAGAGCCGTGAACTTCAATGACTCAACTCAGGTGGTGCCTGTGTCTTGCGGCGGTTTGCCAGGTGGATGCTTGGCGAAATGAAGGTGGCTAGCAAGCGGCTTGAATCAGAGCTTTTCTCAATCAGCCTTCGCATTGAACATGCCAAGGCAGACACGGTAGATGTTTTCGATTGCTTTCATTCGGATGTTTTTAGAGGGTTCATTTAACTACAAAATGCGGAGTTCCTTCTTGGACTAGTGACTAGAACTCAGGTGTCGGCCTGGTCGATGACTGCGACGGCCTCCCCATTGTCGGACTGAAGGACAGCCTTTGACTTCCCAGAAGGCTTGGCTTTTGACAACCGACGTTGCCTAGGAGGGAGAAACTTGTACAGCAAGCTGCACAGAGGGCACCTTGGCTGCGATGGTAAGAGAGAGAGAGAGAGAGAGAGAGACAGACAGAGGGGAGAAAGTAAGCGGATGCATTCTGCGAATGGTCCTAGCATGTCCTAACTTCTTTAGGCTCCATGTTGCATGAGCAAGAAATGGCTTGAGTGTGCTATTCGGCGTGCGTTTGCTCACAGACTACTGGACAAAGCTTAGACAGACGACTCGGGGCAACATATTTTCTATACGCACGTCACACGTGAGTCTGGGGTGTGTTCGTGGTTTGGGCGTCGTCTCCGTGGATACATATTAGATCTTGGCAACAAGTTGACTTGTACGGAGGAAGGTCGACGGGCAGTGGCAACATCCCATACAAAAAAAGAGGCGGTTGCATAAGTGACTGCGGTTGAACGCTATCCACATTTGCATCTGCCGGCGTGCTTTGTGTCCTCGGAGTAGCCTTCAGGCTATGTTGGAGGTGCGCAAGAGCTTGTTTGCCAAGGCCTCCTGCCTGTTTGTTGTTATACGTTACAATGTATTGTCACACCCACACGCACACACACTATATATATATATATACATACATATTTTTTGCAAGCAAGTGAGTGTTGGAGACGTTTGTCAATTGGACAACTGTTTCGGATTGCAGTGGCTACACAGGTGACGGTCAGCTGGCAGGCAGCATTCCAAGCTGCATCGATGTGGCAAGGTGGCAAGGGATTTGGTCGCATGTTTTTTCTACTGTACTTTTCTTCCATTTCAAGTCATTCAGCTAGCAATCAAGTTACTGTATGAAAATATGCAGGGCGACTCCCTTCTTCTACCAGAAGGCTTTTGGTTCATATTTTGCCAAGTTCGGGGGCCTTTCATGTGGGCTTTGGCTGGACATGCCTGCAGGGCGCCTGCTAATGCTCCTTCTGGAGGTACACCCAGATATCTGTGTATGTCCTAGCTGGTGGGATGCTGCTGGTGCTTGGATGCGTCTACAGCTGTGCCTCGTTTGGAAGCAAGGAGTGACCAAATGCCAATGAATGGACCAGCGCGCTACGTGGTTTTGATGTTGCTGAGGCGTATGCATGGTCGGCAAGGCGAGTGCAGAGCCTCAAAGAGCCCTTGCGCGGACCAGGGCCTACCAACTGGTCTGTCAAGTTCTTGCTAGTCACATCCGCACAGGGGCAGCATGAGTAGAAAACATGTGAACAGGCCCAGGCAATAGGCCTAAAAACGATTTACAGAAACCGTTGCCTTTAAAGAAGGGTCTAGAAACAAGGGTCCAGAAAAGGTGCTAAAGGAAACAAAGGTGTGAGAAAAAACAGGCCTTAAAAACAATAGCAAAAGGCATCCGGCATATGGAAACATACATGGCAAATATAAACACTAGTTTCGACGTGATGATTGTCGAGTTGACCAGGGCCGCCTGACCTTTGATGTCTCGGACCTGCCGGAGCCATTCCAAGGCCGAAGTTCCTAGTAGCCCTTTGTTTCTAGTAGCTTCTTGTTACTAGTAGTAAGGCCAGGAGCCCCTAGTAGC